CCCATTTGTTTGTATTTTGGGTATTTAGGAGTAGAGTCGCATGTTCTAAAACATGGCCAACGCCTTCTTAGAGGTTAGTGGACAAGGAAACTTCCCATGGAAGATAGTGTGTCAAACACAACTTCTCTACTGCGCTGTGTGCGGGAATCTAAAGGGATTTCCAAATGTCGATGGTGCATAAAAGCAGCATACAAGGCTCTCTGAGGGAAATAATTCACTTTCCTATTACTGAACACAGTACCACCTGCTGTGTAGTGTTCATGCAATTTAAATAATAATGTAAATAAAAGCAACCACAAAATAAATGCCATTCATTGATTTCTTATTTTATGTCACACACTTCACATACATTATTAATAATTCTTCCAGTAACCCTGAAGGATGGATACAAACATCTGCATTTTACAGAAGAGATAGTTGTTCGGGAAGCTTAAGTAACTGGCCCAAGGTAACATCACATGTAAGTGCTAATTAACTGAGGTTACTCTGATTTTAAAACCTTCATGTCTATACCATATTGTGCTGACAATATAGTTTTGTATTTCAACAGTCAAGAATATTTTAAAGAAATTAAGATGAGAAAAATACTAGGTAATATTTATGCAGATATTCACCTTTTCTGTTTCTCTTCCTTTATTCCTCAAGTTTCAAGTGAACCCTGGTGTCATTTCTTTCAGCCTAAAGAAATTCCTTTTCCTATGTCTTTATAGAACAAATCTGCTTTGATAAATTGTCTTCCTCCTTGAGAAATGGCTTTTTTCCCCATCTTTATTCCTCAAAGATATTTTCACTAGAAGGAGAATTTGAGATTGATAGTTCTTTTGTTGCCTTAAAGATGTTGTTCTACTCTCTCCTGGCCTCCAACGTATCTGATGAGAAAATGTGGTCCTTGGGATTGCTGTTCCCCTGTATTCAATATGTTTTCCCCCCTACCTGCCTGTGACTACTTTCAAAACTTTATCTAAGGTTTTCAGTAATTTTATTATTATGTGTCTAGGCTGATTTTTTTCCCCCCAGTTTTTGTTCTTTGGAGTTTGTCGAGTTTCTTGTATCTATAAATTTATCTTTCACCAAATCTGGGAATTTTTCAGGCATTATTTCTATGAATGTTCATTTGGCACCAATATGGTCTGCCTCTGCCTTAGGGACTCCAGTGACACAATTGTGACATCTTTTGATATTTTCTCTCAAGTCTCTGAGACTCTAGCCATTTTTTAAAATGTTTTATTTATTTCTTTGAGAGAGAGAGTGAGTGAAAGAAAGAGAGAGTGCATGAGCAAAGGGAGAGGCAGAGGCAGAAGGAGAAGCAGACTCCCCACAGAGCAGGGAGCCCGATGCAGGACTCGATCCCAGGACCCTGAGATCATGACCTGAGCCGAAGGCAGACGCTTAACCGACTGAGCCACCCAGCCATCCCTGACTCTGGTCATTTTTTATTTCAATTTCTTTTCTTTCTGTTCAGATTGGATATTTTCTTTTTTTTTTTTTTTTTTAAGATTTATTTATTTGACAGACAGACACAGCGAGAGAGGGAAAACAAGCAGGGGGAGTGGGAGAGGGAGAAGCAGGCCTCTCGCGGAGCAGGGAGCCCAATGTGGGACTCGATCCCAGGACCCTGGGATCAACCTGAGCCGAAGGCAGATGCTTAACCGACTGAGCCACCCAGGCGCCCCAGATTGGATAACTTCTGCTCTCTCAAATTCACTTGTTCTTTCTCATCTCCATTCTGCTATTGAGCTCATTTCATGGATTTTAAGTTTCAGATGCTATATTTTTCACTGCAATTTAGTTCTTTTTTTTATAGACTCGATTTCTCTTTTAAGAATTTCTGTCTTTCATTTCAAGAGTGTTCACCTTAGTTCATAGAAAATGATTCTAGTATTTGCTTTAAAGTCTGTGTAATAATTCACACATTTGAACTGTCTTGACAACTGCTGATTGCTCATTCCTTTGAGATTTGGTCAGATTTTCATGGTTGTTAGTATATCACGTAATTTTGGATTATAGCCTGGACATTTTGAATATTATGTTGTTAGACCTTGCACACTGTGAAACTTCTCTGGAGAATATTGATTTGTTGTTTGAACAAGGAATCCACCTGCATGATTTGTCCTTCAAGGTTAGTTCAGTTTTCAAAGACTTTGAGGTGCTGTTTGGGTCTGTTGGGGCATGTATATCACTCAGGGCTTGCTCTGGTACTTGGGTGATGTTTATACTGTAATTCCGTTCTCAAAGCCTTCATTGTACTTCTTTGGACATTTTCTGTGCAGGTACAATTTGGAGGGTGAGCTCATCACTTGTGTAGTTTCAAACACAGAATTAAAGATTCTCTTCTCTGGTTCTCTCTCATCTGTGGGGTTTCTTCCACATCCTCAGGCTTCCAGAGCCCACTTTTCCAGTTTTTCTGGCTGGAAAGATTAGTTTCTCAGAGTTGGCCTCCTGGGCCATGGCCCAGTTTCATGCAATTGTACCATAGTACAAAGCAGTGAAAAAAAGAGGAAAACCCCCAGAGCAGTGGTTCCTTCACTCTTTGCAAGCTGGACGTCCCTTTTTCTGCTTCTATTTTTTTTTTTAAAGATTTATTTTTTTATTTGAGAGAGAGAGAGAGAGAGAGAAAATGTGGATGGGGGAGGGGCAGAGGAAGAGAATCTTCAAGCAGATTCCCTGCTGAGCACAGAGCCTAATACAGGGGGGCTCGATGTGGGGCTCCATCCCATGAGCCAAAACCAAGAGTTGGTCACTCAACCCATTGAAACACCCAGGCACCCCATTTTTCTGCTTCAAATAGCCAAAAGGTTGAATCGTCTTTTGGGATCTTAGGTGTCCATGCCTCCCCTGGGGTAGCAGTGCAGATCTACTTTTGAGGCCTCGAGGCAGGACTGGGAGAATAAAAAGAGAAAATTTAACACGGGGACTTTCCCCAGACTCTGGCTTAGAGGGACAGCTTTTCCTGCTGACCTATCCGGAATGATGATCTTAACTCCAGGTTTTTTGTTTTGGTTTTTGTGTTTTGCTGTTTGCACCTTTTATAAAGTTCCCAATTTGGCTTGCCTTCAGGCCAAATCCAGGAGGAGAAAAAAAGGAAAAACTCAGAAAACTCTTTGTAGCCTCTTTTATCTTTCCTTAGGGTTTGACTTCTCTCCTTAATCCACTTGCTATTTACTTTTCAGACTCCTCAGATAGTTGTTTGCCAAGTGTGCCCACGTTTTAGCTGAAGTCAGGGGAGCCACAGAATGGGCTTCTTTTTCTGTGGACTGCCTCTTAATCATGTTTTCACCCCTAGTACTTGCCACAGAGCCTACCACATGGATAGACAATTAAGTAAATGAAGGGAATACAAGTGTAAAATGTGAGGCTCACCAATGTGAAGAAAATCTTTGTGTGTGTGTGAATGAAGATGTAAAATGTGAAGCTTGCCAATTCTCCAGCAAATTCTTATATGACCCGGATGGCATGTGTTTGGCTCACTGTTTGCTACTCTTCCCACACTCAAAGGTGATCAGTACTTCTCCACTGCTTGGCTCCCTGTGGAGCCTGAATGCAGCCACAGAATATTCCCAGCACCCCAAACCTGGAAACCACTGTCAGGCGAACAGCATGGGATGTGGGGTATGAGCTGGCCTTTTACCCCTGTCTTTCACATGCGTCCACACATTTGCCAGCCTTCATTTCCAATTTAAATGCAATGCCTCCTCCTCACAAATTTCCACCTTCCTATACTCTTTGCTCTAAGATTCCAGCTGATGGACACAGTTTTTTCTTTGCCAGGTGGGCTTGTGGAAAAAAATCATTTTTTTTGCTTTCTTATATAAAGTTCTATGTTTTCATTAAAAAATGTAATTTGACTAATATGTTTTATGGGGCTTTCCTTCATTTACACCAAAAGGAACTTATGTTAGTGTTTTAGCCCTTGGGAAATGATGAATTTGTTTAATAGATCAGTACTTATCCCGCTCAAAAATGATCATTAGAATTCCTCTTTATTTCATTACTATGTATCACCAAACCCACAATCCATTTGTCACCAGCTGCATCCATTAATTCAGCCATGCTGGTCCATGCATAAGAGACTACTCTAACTTCTCATTTCGAGTCTGTCTTTCTTTCTTTTTCTTTCTTTCTTTCTTTCTTTCTTTCTTTCTTTCTTTCTTTCTTTCTTTCTTTCTTTCTTTCTTTCTTCTTTCTTTCTTTCTTTCAGAGCGAGAATGAGATAGAGAGAGCATGAAGGGAGGAGGGTCAGAGGGAGAAGCAGACTCCCCGATCAGCAGGGAGCCTGATGCGGGACTTGATCCTGGGACTCCAGGATCATGACCTGAGCCGAAGGCAGTCGCTCAATCAACTGAGCCACCCAGGTGCCCTCATTTCGAGTCTTTCTAAGAAAAATATTGGTAGAAAGTAGTGTGCCTTAAATATATCTGATTTAAAATCTCAGTCTATACAAACCTTTAATTTTGGTTTTGTTTGCCATTTTTCTTACCTGAAGACTATTTTCCAATAGAGTCGCAATCTAAATAGAAGTATACTTTTTTGTTAGGGGATTGAGGTGATTATTAGTTTCTAGGGGATGACAGTGGTAGTAAGAAGCAATGTTTGTAAACGTGAATGCCTTTTCATGTCTTTGTGTGTTTGGTATGAAACACCTAGCTGTGACCCAACTAGGTACTTACTCAAGGGAACTCTTTCCAAAACTTTAGAACATTTCCACTTCTAAAATGGAAAACATGGTCAGGAAAATGAGCTCCAAGAGTGTACTGAGCATGTGTGTGGTGCAAATAACAAGCATGAGTTAGTTGAAGGTTGACATCACTAAGTACAAAATTATCTAGTAAGGTTTCCTTTGGATCGTCATTCAGGACCCATGGCTTGGGATTCTGCCTAGCTGTGCCATGACTGAAATTAGAACAATAAAGAGGAAAGAAACTGACTGTGTGGTACAATCTAAGTGGGGTTCACAATCTAAATGTGGCTTTCGTTTCTCCTTTTCCCTCTGGGGTCTCCAGTTTACCGTGGTTTCTGGGCAGTCCTGATGCTTCTGGGGGTCGTCGCCGTGGTGACTGCGAGCTTTCTGATCATCTGTGCAGCCCCCTTCGCGAGCCACGTTCTCTATAAAGCCGGTGGAGGCGGGTACATTGCTGCAGGTATGTGCAAGGAAAAGGGTATGATTTCCAGCCATGGTTTTTCTCGATAGCCACATATTTTCCTTTTCTAGTTTCAGGTTTCAGGCCTCTAGTAGTAGTAATACAATGAATTCATATGCAGTTTTGCTTGAGTGCCCATTATATGCAGACCCTTCCCAGGGAATTTGCATTTTCCACGTGCTCCACAGCATTTGCTCACTGTATCCACGTTGTATGAAGAAGGCACTAGAAGGGAAAGCTCTGTTCTTTAGCCTCTTTTAACCTATTTATTTTCTATCTGTAAAATGGGTTCATAGCACGTCTCTCTGTAACATCAGGATATGGGTGAACTTTTCTCTGCACTCTTTTTTTTTTGTAATTTTTTTATTGTTATATTAATCACCATACATTATATCATTAGTTTTTGATGTAGTGTTTCATGATTCATTGTTTGTGCATAACACCCAGTGCTCCACGCAGAACGTGCCCTCTTTAATACCCATCACCAGGCTGACCGATCCCCCCACCCCCCTCCTCTCTAGAACCCTCAGTTTGTTTTTCAGAGTCCATCGTCTCTCATGGTTCGTCTCCTCCTCTGATTTATCCCGTTCATTCTTCCCCTCCTGCTATCTTCTTCTTCTTCTTCTTTTTTTTCTTAACATATATTGTATTATTTGTTTCAGAGGTACAGATCTGTGATTCAACAGTTTTGCACAATTCACAGTGCTTGCCGTAGCACATACCCTCCCCAATGTCTATCACCCAGCCACCCCATCCCTCCCACCCCACCCCCACTCCAGCAACTCTCAGTTTGTTTCCTGAGGTTAAAAATTCCTCATATCAGCGAGGTCATATGATACATGTCTTTCCCTGATTGACTTATTTCACTCACATTGTGTATATATACCACTTCTTCTTTATCCATTGATCGGTTGATGGACATCTTGGCTCTTTCCACAGTTTGGCTATTGTGGACATTGCTGCTATAAACATTGGGGTGCACGTACCCCTTCGGATCCCTACATTTGTATCTTTGGGGTAAATACCCAGTAGTGCAATTGCTGGATCGTATGGTAGCTCTATTTTCAACTGTTTGAGGAACCTCCATACTGTTTTCCAGAGTGGTTGCACCAGCTTGCATTCCCACCAACAGTGTAGGAGGGTTCCCCTTTCTCCACATCCCCGCCAACATCCGTCATTTCCTGACTTGCTAATTTTAGCCATTCTGACTGGTGTGAGGTGGTATCTCATTGAGGTTATGATTTGGATTTCCCTGATGCTGAGTGATGTTAAGCACTTTTTCATGTGTCTGTTGGCCATTTGGATGTCTTCTTTGGAAAAATATCTGTTCATGTCTTCTGCCCATTTCTTGATTGGAGTATTTGTTCTTTGGGTGTTGAGTTTGATAAGTTCTTTATAGATTTTGGTTACTAGCCCTTTTTCTGATATATCATTTGCAAATATTTTCTCCCATTCTGTCGGTTGTCTTTTGGTTTTGTGGACTGTTTCTTCTGCTGTGCAAAAGCTTTTTATCTCGATGAAGTCCCAAGAGTTCATTTTTGCCCTTGCTCCCCTTGCCTTTGGCGATGTTTCTAGGAAGAAGTTGCTGTGGCTGAGGTCGAAGAGGTTGTTGACTGTGTTATCCTTTAGGATTTTGATGGACTCCTGTCTCACGTTTAGGTCTTTCAACCATTTGGAGTCTATTTTTGTGTGTGGTGTAAGGAAATGGTCCAGTTTCATTCTTCTGCATGTGGCTGTCCAATTTTCCCAACACCATTTGTTGAAGAGACTGTCTTTATTCCATTGGACATTCTTTCCTGCTTTGTCAAAGATGAGTTGACCATAGACTTGAGGTTCCATTTCTGGGCTCTCGATTCTGTTCCATTGATCTATGTGTCTGTTTTTGTGCCAGTACCATACTGTCTTGATGATGACAGCTTTGTAATAGAGCTGGAAGTCCAGAATTGTGATGCCCCCAGCTTTGCTTTTCTTTTTCAACATTCCTCTGGCTATTCGAGGTCTTTTCTGGTTCCATACAAATTTTAGGATTATTTGTTCCAGTTCTTTGAAAAAAGTGGATGGTATTTTGATGGGGATTGCATTGAATGTGTAGATTGCTCTCGGTAGCATTCACATCTTCACAATGTTGGTTCTTCCAATTCATGAGCATGGAACGTTTTTCCATTTCTTTGTGTCTTCCTCAATTTCTTTCATGAGTATTTTCTAGTTTTCTGAGTACAGATCCTTTGCCTCTTTGGTTATATGTATTCCTGGGTATCTTATTGTTTTGGGTGCAATTGTAAATGGGATCGACTCTGTAATTTCTCTCTCTTCTGTCTTGTTGTTGGTGTATAGGAATGCCACAGATTTCTGTGCATTGATTTTATATCCTACCAATTTACTGAATTCCTGTATGAGTTCTAGCAGTTTTGGGGTGGAATCTTTTGGGTTTTCCACATAAAGTATCATATCATCTGTAAAGAGTGAGAGTTTGACTTCCTCCTTGCCGATTTGGATGCCTTTGATTTCTTTTTGTTGTCTGACTGTTGTGGCTAGGACTTCTAATACTATGTTGAATAGCAGTGGTAATAGTGGACATCCCTGCTGCGTTACTGACCTTAGGGGGAAAGCTCTCAGTTTTTCCCCATTGAGAATGATATTCGCTGTAGGTTTTTCATAGATGGCTTTTATGATATTGAGGTATGTATCCTCTATCCCTATACTCTGAAGAGTTTTGATCAAGAAAGGATGCTGTACTTTGTCAAATGCTTTTTCTGCATCTATTGAGAGGATCATATGATTCTTGTTCTTTCTTTTGTTAATGCATTGTATCACATTGATTGATTTGCGGATGTTGAACCAACCTTGCAGCCCAGGGATAAATCCCACTTGGTCAAGGTGAATAATCCTTTTAATGTACTGTTGGATCCTATTGGCTAGTATTTTGGTGAGAATTTTTGCATCCATGTTCATCAAGGATATCGGTCTGTAATTCTCCTTTTTGATGAGGTCTTTGTCTGGTTTTGGGATCAAGGTAATGGTGGCCTCATAAAATGAGTTTGGAAGTTTTCCTTCCATTTCTATTTTTTGGAACAGTTTTAGGAGAATAGGTATTAATTCTTCTTGAAATGTCTGATAGAATTCCCCTGGGAAGCCATCTGGCCCTGGGCTTTTGTTTGTTGGGAGATTTTTGATGACTGCTTCAATTTCCTTAGGGGTTATAGGTCTGTTCAGGTTTTCTATTTCTTCCTGGTTCAATTTTGGTAGTTGATGCATCTCAAGGAATGCATCCATTTCTTCCAGGTTATCTAATTTGCTGGCATAGATTTGCTCATAATATGTTCTTATAACTGTTTGTATTTCTTTGGTGTTGGTTGTGATCTCTCTTTCATTCATGATTTGTTGATTTGGGTCATTTCCCTCTTCTTTTTGATAAGTCTGGCCAGGGGTTTATCAATCTTGTTAATTCTTTCAAAGAAACAGCTCCTAGTTTTATTGATCTGTTCTATTGTTCTTTTGGTTTCTAGTTCATTGATTTCTCCTCTGACTTTATTATTTCTCTTCTCCTGCTGGGTTTAGGCTTTATTTGCTGTTTTTTCTCCAGCTCCTTTAGGTGTAGGGTTAGGTTGTGTATTTGAGACCTTTCTTGTTTCTTGAGAAAGGCTTGTATTGCTATATACTTTCCTCTCAGGACTGCCTTTGCTGCATCCCAAAGATTTTGAACAGTTGTGATTTCATTTTCATTGGTTTCCATGAATTTTTTTTAATTCTTCTTTAATTTCCTGGTTGACCCATTCATTCTTTAGTAGGATGCTCTTTAGTCTCCATGTATTTGAGTTCTTTCCGACTTTCCTCTTGGGATTGAGTTCTAGTTTCCAAAGAATTGTGGTCTGAAAATATGCACGGAATAATCCCAATCTTTTGTACCCGGTGAGACCTGATTTGTGACCTAGGATGTGATCTATTCTGAAGAATGTTCCATGGGCACTAGAGAAGAATGTGTATTCCATTGCTTTGGATATGTCTGTGAAGTCCATTTGGTCCAGTGTGTCATTTAAAGTCTTTATTTCCTTGTTGATCTTTTGCTTAGATGATCTGTCCATTTCAGTCAGGGGGGTGTTAAAGTCCCCACTATTATTGTATTGTTGTCAATGTGTTTCTTTGCTTTTGTTATTAATTGCCTTATAGAATTGGCTGCTCCCATGTTAGGGGTATAGATATTTACAATTGTTAGATCTTCTTGTTGGGTAGACCCTTTAAGTAAGATATTGTGTCCTTCTTCATCTCTTATTACAGTCTTTGTTTTAAAATCTAATTTGTCTGATATAAGAATTGCCACCCCATCTTTCTTTTGGTGTCCATTAGCATGGTAAATGGTTTTCCACCCCCTCACTTTCAATCTGGGGGTGTCTTTGGGTCTAAAATGAGACTCTTGCAGACAGCATATCGATGGGTCTTGTTTTTTAATCAAATCTGATAGCCTGTGTCTTTTGATTGGGGCATTTAGCTCATTTACATTCAGGGTAACTATTGAAAGATAGGAATTTAGTGCCATTGTATTGCCTGTAAGGTGACTGTGACTGTATATTGTCTCTGTTCCTTTCTGGTCTATGTCACTTTTAGGCTCTCTCTTTGCTTAGAGGACCCCTTTCAATATTTCTGGTATGGCTTGTTTCGTGTTTGCAAATTCTTTTAGTTTTTGTTTGTTCTGGAAACTTTTGATCTCTCCTATTTTCAGTGACAGCCTAGATGGATATAGTATTCTTGGCTGCATATTTTTGTCGTTTAGTGCTCTGAAGATATCCAGCCTGTCATTTCTGGCCTGCCAGGTCTCTGTGGATAGGTCTGTTGCCAATCTAATGTTTCTACCATTATAGGTTACATATCTCTTCTCTTGAGCTGCTTTCAAGATTTTCTCTTTGTCACTGAGACTCGTAAGTTTTACTATTAGATGTTGGGGTGTTGACCCATTTTTATAGATTTTGAGAGGGGTTCTCTGTGCCTCCTGGATTTTAATGCCT